ATTCAGTCAAAAACATCGCAGCTAAAATCAGTCGGTTTATTTCCTGCCGTCTTTCAAGTTGACCAAAGCGCTGGCTGATTTGCTCTATTTTCTTACATTTTTAGTGTTTCTGTATATACGCACTGAAAAGCCCTGCTCAGAAAAAAAATGTGCTGCAATTCTGAGAAAAAGCTTATCCTAAGCATCTAAAGATAGCATTTCTAAATATTGTCTACATTGTGTTTAAACCGTGCAAACTTGAGCATTCTTCTCACTTTACCAGCTGTGTCTAGGTAGAGTCATTACATCAAACGCTTCTAATTTTACAAAAAGAAATCAAAACAAGTGTGTGTTTAAGTCCCAGTGACAAATGCAAACCCTGTGAGTCAAATAGGCAAACTGATTAGCAAGCTGGCTGGGAAGTCAAAACAGCAAATATAAGGAGATTAAGCAAATAGATCTGTAAAATGAAAGGAGTAAAAATAGTCCTCAGGGGCCAAGTAGGGTCCAGTGGGCGGGCTTGATGACATGTGGAATGTTCTGTGCTGGGATCCAGATGCCTGTCCTTTATGGCCCTCAATCCTGCCTTCCTCTTAGGTCCCTCCCCAAAAGTCTAGCTGAGATGACAGAGTTCATGTCATCCAGCCGCTCAGTAAATGCAGAAATCCTTCTAACAAATCTAAAAGGTTTACTTGATTCCTTCTAGCTGCAGGACACTCACTACCTTATGAGTTACCAGCTGCCACCACGGCAAATGAGCTGTGTGCCATAGGGGTTTTCTTCCCTTTTAAAAAATTTTTACTGTGATTTGGGTGAAACAAGGCATTTGACTGCTCACCAGAAGACTGGTGATTCAAACCCACTAGCCACTCCACAGAAGGAAGACTGGGCAATCTACTTCCACGGAGGGGTTGCTATGAGTCAGATTCGACTGGACAGCAGTGAGTTTGGTTTTTTTTTTTTTGGTTACAGAGCAAATCCATTTTTCACACAGCAGTTCATACACATTTTGTTTCATGACATTGACTGCAATCCTCATAATATAAACAGCTCTCTTCCTACTTCCTCCCTGTACTTACCTCTTCCTGGGTCCTTCTTTCCTACGCCTTCCTGCCCCTGAGCTGTCTCCCTGTGCAAATAGGGGTTTTCAATGCCTGATTTTTCAGCAGTAGATTGCCAGGCTTTTCTTCCAAGGCACCTCTGGGTGGCCTCAAGCTTTCAAATTTACGGGTAACAGCCAAGTACATTAACTGTTTGCACCACAAGGTAGCTCGATCCATTAGTAGGTAGGGACTTTTCTGACTTTAGCCATTGTGATTAATTAGTGCTGACATCCAAATCTTACTAGATGACCTGCTATGATGCTATGCTGCACATTCATCATGAATATACTTAATTTAATCCTCAAAACAATCCAATGAAATGGTTTTATTTTATAGAAGAGGAAACTCAAGTTGATTCCAACTCATAGCGACCTTGCAGGCCAGGGTAGAACTGTCCCATAGGATTTCCAAGGCTGTAATCTTTACAGAAGCAGACTGCTACATCTTTCTTAAATGGCTGGTGAGTTCCAATGAGTTTGAACTGCTGGCCTTTCTTTGGTTAGCAGCCAAGTGCTTTAATCACTGCATCACCAGTGAACTGTCATCTGCCATACCATTGTTTCTGCTATTCCTTTCCTGACTCACTGGAGCCCCATAAAACAGTTTATCAATCCCAAATGGGGGAGGGGTGACCACCCATGGAAATACCCTGTGGCCACCCTGGAGTGCATGCTAGGAAAGTCACCAGATGGCGAGCTATGAGATAGGAAGTAAGGTTCCTGTATTAACAGAATCAAAATTTTGAGCAAGACTCTAAATTATGAATACTGTGGAAATCAGGGTCTCCGAATAGCTCTGGTGGGAATTATGATTCCCCGCGGCAGAGACAAGATGATGACTGCTTGCAGATCTTCTGCTTCATGACTCAAAGGGTAGTGGTAGAGTTCAGGAAGGGGCTTACCAAGATTGAACCTCACCATCACTAGCTGAGCAGAATAAGTCTGACCTCATGGCACGTCCCTGGGGAAACAGAAATGAGAATTCTATATTGTACTGAGGCATGGAAACAGACAGTCAAGGAGTTTGGTTAAGGCAGGAAGGAGAGAAAGCACCAAACCTGGAGGAACCACTAGATTGACCCCAGAGATCACAAACTAACAGGTTAACAGGCAAAGGAGAGCTCAAAAGAAATGCATTTTGATTGAACTGGCCGCAGTAACTGGTGGATAAGAACCTTATGGGCAATGAGTTTATGATAACAGAGAGGGGCAATTTGGAAAAGGAGGTGAGAGTGGTCACCCAACTCAAATAATGTCGTCAATGTCACCAAACTGTGCAAGTAGAACTTGTGGATTTGTCTATTTCTCCTGTGTATGTTTTACACACACACACACACACACACACACAGTATAAAAAGGAAAATGAAATGGGGGACGATTTCCAGTTGGATTCAGAGTGTCAGGGAGTGGATGGTAGCCTTCAAGAATGACTCTTCAGCTCTGTCTGGGCGCGGGCCAAGGGCAGTGAAAAAAATTCAGAATTGAAGAGAAACAATGAGAGAGAAGGACCAACTTCCTTCCAAAAAATTAGTCTGAACCCCCTTGATGCTCCCGCAGTAATTTATAATCTGGGCAGCAGAGCAGAAGGTGGGGAGCTGGGCATTTTATTCCTCAATCTCATGTGTCCCGATGTAATTGCAGATTCTTTTTCACAACTTTCAAATGGTGGGGAGGGGCAAACACATCTAGTGCAGATCAGAGTATTTAAAGACTTGGCTTGTTATCACCCTGTCAGAGCCGACCTGTATAGTTCAAGTTAATACTCCAAACCAGGAAAAGCCAGTTGGTGGAGCAAAGTCACCAAGCAATAGCCTTTCTCTCCAGCTGTCATTGGGTTCAAGGAAAGGTTTTTAAAATAACAAGTTAAGTCCTAGTTAGAGGTAAAAATAACCACTGAGGACAGGTTTCTGGCTGAGGCTCAGTTGAGTCACTGCCTCAGAAGGTTGGGAGAAATGGAAACTGCCTCAAAGAAAGAAGGAAAAACAAAAAGCAACGAGTTGCCATCAAATCCAGCTGGTGCATGTCAGAGTAGAACTGTGAGCCACAGTGTTTGCAGAGCATTGTTTTGGAAGTAGATCACCAGGCCTGTCGTTAGCGGTGCCTTGGGGTAGACTTGAACCTCTAATCTCTTGGTCAGCAGCAAAGCATGCTATCCATTTCCACCACCTAGGGTATCCACCCTAGACAAACCAGGATGGAAAGACCGTACTTAGGAAGTGAGTCTACCCCACCAAAGAACATCCAAAAACCACTCTGACCAGCTGCTGTGCAGTTGGTTCTGCTTCATGGTGACCCCATGTGTGTGAGTAGAGCTGCTCCATAACTTCCTCAGGACTGTGACCTTCCAAAGCAGAATGCCAGGCCTTTCTTCTGAGGCTCCTCTCTGGGCCGGTTCTAACTACCAACTTTTCAGTTAACAGTCAAGTGTTTAATTACATCAGCCAGGGACACCTGAATCTATCCCAGGGGGTTACAAAGTTATTAAAACATGTAGTTATTCAGTAAAAAGAAGATGCAATTCTCAAGAGTAGTCTAGTCTGTGTACAGAGTATAATTTTTATAAAGGGAGGCTGAACCAATCACAAGTCTCAATAGAATTTAGCTGCTTTTGGTCCCCACTACTTTGAGCCGCCTTTGTGTCAACAAGAGCTTTACTCTTATTTGTGGGAGGCCTGGACAGCTCCAGATAGCAATATCAGTCTCCCTGTAAATTCCCAGGGCACATTGCTTCATGACGCTATCTTCGCCATCTGGGAAGTGGACCTAAGGCTGCACTGCAAGGGAAAGGTGAGAACCAAAGGCAAGAAGAGTTGGTGCACCTCATTCCTGCCCAAGCCAGTGGCACCAGCATCTGTATCACCAGGGAAGCTTCTTGCCAACAGAGCTCCTCCGCCCCCTTTGGAGATCACAGCTCTTGGATGTAACGCAGGAAGGCAGATAGATACATAGGTAGGTAGATTTTTTTTTTTTTTAACTTCCCTGATGCTGATACTCTTCATCTTGGGAGTCACACAGAGGCTGAGCATTGCTTCCAGTAAGTGGCTGAGGTCGGGGTGTAGGGAAAAGTTCATTCTCCAGGATTTTGGGAAATATCTTTGGCATTTCCGAAAAATAGCTGAGCCCTGCAGAGAAGGTTCATGCAAAACAAGTAACGGAGGCCCTGGCGCAGGACTGAATTGCTGAGTTTTTAATACACAACATCAGATTGCAAAATATCCCCCCAAGGAGCAGCTCTCCAAGGGGTGGTGGGAAAACAGCTGAGGGGCAGGGCAGGGCAGCTTACCCTTTGGCTGCATGTATGGGCAGCCACAAGATCCGAAGAGATGGGGAGATGGGACCCCAGGGAAAGTTTAGAGTCTCAGAGCACCTAGGAGCAACCAAAGCGCAACTTGTGGGGGTGAGCTGGGGCCCTTAGGGCAGAGACAGGTCTCAGGGCTCATGAGGATCAAGGTGGAAAGGGAAGGCAGGGAGTCTGGGAGGCCCTCAGGGAGGATGGGGTACTGTGCTAGTCTGGAACCCGAGGGTCCTCTGGGCTGGAAGATGGAGGCTCAGGATGGAGAGGGCATCTTGGCATACTTGGGGGAGACCTCAGGGTGGGGGGAATTTCAGGGCTCAAGGGGATCTTACGCCACAGTGGAGAGAGGCCCTCAGAGTGGAAGGAGTCTCAGGTGCAGAGGGGTCTTAGGGTGCATGGAGGCAGAGGGAGAACTCGATGCTCAGAAAGGGTCTCGGCGCAAGGGGGTAGGAGAGTGGACTCAAGGCTGAAGGAGGTCTGGTGCGCATTGGGGGTCCCAGTGTGGAAGTTGTCCCAGGGTGCACAAGGTGCAAGGGGGACTCAAGGCAGAGGGAGGTCTCAGAGCTCAGAGGGGTCTCGGGGCTCACGGAAGGATCTCCGGGCTCCCGCACAGCCGGGGGGCGCTCAGGAGGTCTTGCACTCGCTCTCGCGTCGCCGCTTCCTGCGCTCCACGTGTTCTTGTGCTTTGCGCGCCCACAGCTCCGGCCCGCACACGCCCACCACGCAGCAGGCCAGCCGGCGGCCCGCGTTGCCGTTCTCCACGCTGGCCTGGTTGCCACCGAGGCCCAGGTCGTCCTGGAGCGCGTGGACCACCACGGAGCGGCCCATGATGGAGTGGGGGCCGGTGAGCGAGGCGGCGAGGCCGGTACGGTACTTCCAGAGACGGCCGTCGCGAACCGCGAAGTTACCGAAGTCGCCCGGGTGCAGCGGGTGCGGTACGCCCAGCGGGTTGTAGTGGGGACCGGTGGCCTCGCAGCCCTGGCTCACGTCCCCGTACTGGTGCACGTGGATGGCGCGGCTGGAAGCGTTGGGCTCGGTGGGGAAGCCCTCCAGGTCGAAGAAGGCCTCGAGTTTGGCGCCGAGCGCAAGCTGCCGGAAGAGGACGAGGCCAGTGACTCGGGGCTGCGCAGCGTCCAGCGATGCAGACGGCTGCACGTGGCAGGCGGCATGGAGCCCGGCGTCGGGCCAGCTGTCCCTCGCCCCCTGCTGCGTGAGCTCCTGCCAGATCTGCGTCACTTTGACGTGCATGTCGCGGATTTGGTCTGCAGTGTTGGCACTGGGCTCCACCATATCCGCATCCATGGAGGCATCGGCCGCCAGGAGCAGGCAGGAACACAGCAGCGCCAGCATGGCCGAGTAGGACAGCTGCGGGGCACCCTGCCAGGCAGGAACGAAGGGAGGCTTTGTCAGTTTATGCATAGACTCTCAGGGACCCCAACATCATCCAGTCTCCTTCCCTCCCCCTCAGGCCGTTCTGGTCCCGGGGGCATGCATTCACTCATTCGTTCATTCAGCACACATTTCTTCAGGTCCTCTGTGTGCCAGGCACTATGTTCGATGCTGTTCTTGCAAAGATACATGAGACGTGATGTCAGCTCTCAAGAAACTCATAGGGATCATTCGGAACCACAAATCTGATCATGGCTCTCTGTTCCTAAAACCCTTCAGTGACTGCCTCTACCGTTAGGACCCAGTCGAATCTCCATAGTGTGGAGGGGTCTCAGGAGGCATGGGAAGACAGTGCCTCATGGCCCATCAAGGTCTGCCCCTGTTCTTATCCCCCAGCCTCATCTCTTGCCACTCTCATTCTATATCCTGCCTTCTTGGTCTTTGCACACACTGTGCCCTCTCGTGCAAACACCCTCTCCTCTCTTTGTTTGGTACAGTGAATTATTTGGTATAGCTTATCTAGCCATTGTCTTTGTAGCTCCCACAGGATTACTGGGTGGATCCATGCAAACAAGGTGTGTAGAACTCTGATGTTGGGATTGGTTAGTTGAGTCACTTTGCCAGGCTTAAAATGAGCCTTCCTAGAGACAGAGAGGGGATCTCACTGCCATCAAGGGAGAAGACCTGGAGGTGAAGTGGAACTTGTTCTTGGACCCGAGATCCCTGGGCTGGACTTCCTTGGCAGAGAGATGCCCAGGTGAGAGACGGAGGCAGTGGAGACAAGAGGCAGGAGACGGAACTTTGGGCTTTCCAGCCCACATTGTGAGAAAGCTGTGTGTCCTGGGGCAGGAGGCTTGCTAGCCGAGTGGGGTGCACCTAGGTGTAGCTATTGGCAGAGAACTTTGTAACACTTGACGGAGCAGGGCAGAGGCCAGGCCAAGAGGCCAAGGGCCAGAAAGGCATGCCCAAGGGCACAGCAGAGGGGAGACTGTTCTGATCTAAGAACTGTATCCTGAGAATGTTTCTCAACCTGAACTGTGACCTGTTACTTTCCTAATAAACCCCATAATCGTGAGTGTTGTCTATGAGTTCTGTATGGCCATTGCAATGAATTATCAAACCCAGCAGAGAAGTAGTGAGTGCTGTGGGAGGGACAGCTGGTGTCAGAGTTAGTGAAAAGACTGGAGGGTGGCGGTATGTCTGGACTTACAAGAATAAGCCTTGAGCTGCTGATGGTGATTCTGCCTTCCTTGTGGGAAGTCAGAGGAGGTTCGGAAGATGCCATCTCCGTGCCCTTTTTGCATCTTCCACACTCAGTAGACCTGTAGCTTTTTTTAAGACAGAAACTCATCTATACTGCACATTGCCAGCACCTAGACTCACACCTGGTGATGTTGTTAGCTGCAGCAAGTCGTCCTGACTCAGGATGACCCCGACTCATGGTGACCCCCTGCACAATGGGACAACATGCTGCCTGGCTCTACACCATCCCCATGATTGGTTCTGAATCAGATCACCGTGAGGCATAGGGTTTTCACTGGCTGATTTTCAGATGTAGTTTGCCAGGCCTCTCTTCCTAGTCCATTGTAGCCTGGCAGCTCTGCTGAAAGCCTTTCAGCCTCATAGCAACACACAAGCCTCCACTCACAGCCAGGTGGTGGCCATGCATGAGGGGCTTGGCTGGGAATCGAACCCAGGTCTCCCACGTGGAAAGGCGAGAATCTGCTACCATACCACCATCTGCCCCACCTGTGGCAGATATAAGATGTGATTGTTCAATGAGTAGCTAGTAAATCAGGAGTAGGGACAGACATGCCATCAAATCCCAACACCAATCCTATGACTTTCTCATTGAAGATGGAGCCTTGTGCTGGGGAAGGACAGAAGAGATGGTACCCATCTCCCTTGTGGGCTCCTGGAAGGCTTCCAGAAGAGGTGACATTTCAGCCGAGTGGCACAAGCAGTTTTCCAGCCATGTCAGGTAGGAAAACCATTTCAGGCAAGAGCCACAGCATGATATGAAAGGGTGTGAAAAGGCACGGTTTGTTTGTGGGAAGTTAGGAAGGTTCCTGTGGCAAAAACATGGCCTGTGATAGGAGGCAGGCATTGAATCTCTACAGAAATGTGAGCCAGGGACTGAAAGACTGGGTTTGCTATGCTAACGGGTGTGGATATTAGCCAGCGGGCAAGTGCTGGTGGAAGTTTTTAAGCAGAGAAGTGGATGATGAGGTCATTTTAGTTCCTTCACTCTGGCAGGAGAAAGGATGTTGACTGGACTTTTAAGATGGGAAGGGCAAGGGAGGGAGCTTGGGAAATGGCCTAGAAAGAGATGGGAGCACGGAGAAGCAGAGACAGTCAGCAGGGACACAAAGGCAGCAGTGGTGAGGGCTTAACCTGAGGTGGAGGGCGTGGGTTTGGGAGACATCTTGGTAGCACAGCCAAGAAGGAAGGAGACGGAGGAGTTGAAGTTGACTCAGATCCTTGGCGGAGGACACTGGTCAATGGGTGGTGATACTAAAATAAATTAACAAAACTCTAAACAGGTTGCCATCAAGTCAATTCTGACTCGAGGTGATCCCATGTGTGCAGAGTAGAACTGCTCCACAGGCTTTTTCCAGGACTGAACTCTCAGGAGCAGGTCACCAGACCTTTCCTCTGAGGCACCTCTGGTTGCATTTGAACCACTGATCTTTCAGTTAATAGTCCAGTGCTCTACTGCTTGCACCCTCCGTGGAACCCAGGGTGGTACCAGGACCCAAGAAATGGGGAAGAGAATGAGTTCAGCTTGGGTCAGCAGAGGGTGAGATGCTGATGGCCACAGGTCTAGTACTTGGAAGAGGCAGTGTAGCTGACCGTGCTTCTCAGTGTTGTCCGCACATCAGACTCCGGCCTTCAAAACCAGACCCCAGACCCTGTTCCAAGAGATTCTGAGTCAGTGGGCTTGACTTTTTTGTATTTTTGTTTAAAAGCTCCATTGAAGATTCGAGAGCCCAGCCATGGATTTTGGAGTCAGACACAGATTTAAATCTCAACAGCCACATAGACTAACTGTGAGACCGTGGGGAAGTAACTGACTATCTCTTTGCTTCAGGTTTCTTACCTATAGAATAAAGTTAGCAGTACCACTGAGGAGCACGGCGGGGATTAAATGAGATAGTACATGCCAGGCTGTTCTCACATTTTCAAGTCTGCCCACAGGGATCAATGCTGCCTCTAAAGAACTGATTTTGAGGGTGAATTTCACTTCTAAGGGCCTCTTCCAACCCCAAAGTAGATGCCTTTATAAAAAGAAACGCCAGGCTTGAGTATTTGTTCTTCGCATAACCACTAGAGAAAGGCAATTTAATATGGTGATTAAAAGAATGGATGCTGGAACTCACTGCCTGGATCTGAAGGCTGCCTCTACCACTTACTCTCTTCAAAAGGAAAGAAAGAAAGAAAGAACCAAACCCACTGCCACTGAGTCAACTGCAATGCACGCAAAGCCGTGTGTTACGGAGTAGAGCTACTCCCTAGGGTTTTCTTGGCTGTGATCTTTGTGGAAGCGGATTGAACTGCTGATCTGTAGCTTAGCAGTTGAGTGCAAACCGTTTGCACCATCAGGGCTACATCTGAAGGGTCAGCTATTTCTGTGACTTTTATTGCAAAGTAGCAGAGGAAATGTCCAACTGTAGCCTCTAGATCAGCTCTACCTCCTCTCTCGGCTTCAGTTTTCTCATCTATAGATGGGGATCGTTATACTTGCCTTGGTGGCTTGCGATGCTAACATTCATTGAACTCAAGTGCCAGGCATTGTTAAGCACTTCACCTGTGTTAATTCATGTGAGTCTCACAAGAACCCCATGTGGTGGGTGCTATCGTCATCTCCATTCTAAAGTGGAGAGAATGAGGCAGGGAGAGGTGAAGTGAACTGCTCAAAGTCACACATACAGTAGCTGGGACAGGATGTGAACATGTGTGGTCTGCCCCAGAGCCCATGCTTTCGGCACCACAGTGCAAAGCTCTCCCCTAAGGTACTTAGCACAGAGCCTGGCAGACACATGGGAGGTTCTCAGTAAGCAGCTGCTCTGGACTATGGGACAGAAGCTGCAGCTGGAGATGAGATTGCAGGGCCATCAGCAGAGAGGTGCTAGCAAAGCCCTGGAAGGACAAGGGGCCAGAGAGCTAGGAAGAGACGCAGAGAAAGTGACATCCAAGAAGCTGCCTCTGAAGTGGCCCTGATGCAGTGTTACTACCGGAAAAGGATGGTGGAGGGCCTGGGGGCCATTTCTACCAGGCCTCAGGCCCTCCCACCCTCAGAAGCCCCCTCACCTCCTGAGGCAGCCCTGCTAATCAGGGCCTCTGCTGACTGGAGAGTTCTTAAGTGTTGTGGGCTGCTGTTGAGTCAGCCCATCTCATAGAGACCCCTTGCACAACAGGCCAAAATGTTGCCTGTTGTGGTCCGTAGGGTTTTCATTGGTTGATTTTTCAGAAGCAGAATGCCAGGCCTCTCTTCCTCATCCATCTTAGTCTAGAAGGTCTGCTGAAACCTGTTGGCCATCCTAGCAGCAAGCCTCCACTGACAGACAGGTGGCGGCTGCGCCTGACGTACATTGGTCAGGATTTGAACCTGGGTCTACCACACAGAAGGTGAGAATTCTACCAGTGAACCACCACATCCCCTCTTCCTGAATAGCACAGAGCAAAAATAGATGGTGTGGGGTGCATCTGTGAAGCTTTCTCTTTGATGAATGTCTGCAATTAACATTCTAAGGAGATGCATTTCCCTTAAAGCAAAAAACAAATTCTCAAACCCACATAAGCGGGATGCCTTGTTTGTTAAGTCTGTGACTCCAGTGCCCCTGAGTGCCGTGCAGGTTTTTCCATTGACTTTGAGCTGTGACTGACAAGGGTTTATTGCCTGCTCTGTAAACGGTTGTGGAGGGGGAGAACAGGGTGAGCAGGGAGAGCAGTTGGGGCCC